TTTTCAAATGTATATGACTTTTTCAAGTTTTAGTACATTTATATATTGATTGAAATTTTTTTAACATTATTTAATTAAATATTAATAAACAATCTTAATATTGCGGCCATCAGCGACCGTCCTAGCTGACTTAATATCCTAAATCCGCCCCCGATCATAGGCTAAGTCGTCTAGAGCCAAGAGACATCATCTCGATTGGTTGAGTAAGGTGGAGAGGATCCAAGGGACTTTGTCTTGTCCGGGCTCTTTCTTTACCATGCAAATGGAGTCAAAGGACATTCTTCCTTCGTGGCATAGCCAAGAGACTTTGTTGTGCTAAGATTTCTTTCATGTGAGTGGAGTCAAGTGACGTGTTGCTCTTGGACTTATTTGTTTCTTGATAGTTGGTCAGAGCTTGAGTGTTCATGAGATTTATGAGTTTGATTTGTGCTGCGTTACTTTATTTTATTTCTTTAAATGGATTGTTTGCGGATAGTGATGCTATAAAAAAAATTTCACATGCGAATACTCGAGCTTGATGACTAGGAATAAGCACGAACCTGATTTTTGTAACTTGTGCCCAATGACAAAATTTGAGCACAAACAGAACTTATGTAACTCGAGCCCAATGACAAAGCTTGACTAATGGACATCCGAGCTTGATGACTGTTAAAACTTGGGATTCCATCTTAAAAGATCAACTTTATTAAGAGAAGTCTCACAAATACTATAAATTAGTTTATGTTTTCATCTTTATTCGGTGTAGGATTTTTATCCCTTAATATACTCTCACAAGATGGTGGTTCATTTGAGCAAACCAATATTAAAATCCGTGTTCTCATTTTTTGAGTCTTGATCGAATCAAATTATTTATTGGAGTTTAATGGACTCTGATACTATATTAAAATTTAAGGTTCCATCTTAATATGTCAACTTTATTAAGAAGAGCAATATAAACATTTATAAATTGATCTACATTTTCATCTTTATTCGATATGAGATTTTTATCCCCTTACAATGACAAATCTTGAGCATGAACAAGACCTCCAGAACCCAAAACAAAAGGTATCGATGTGTGTTATTGTCGTCCCTCCGATATTTAAGTTAGTGAAAGGGGAAATATAAGCATGAGGTTATAAAGTGAATCAATGTAAAAACGTATCTGAATAATGAATGGAGGAACTCTATTTATATTTTTAGAGTTGGCGGTGCAATCTTGATAAAATTAGGTGACTTTGATGCTTTATCTGTTTAAGAATCCTAAAGGACGTGAGAGTCTTGTGAAAGTTGGACATTAAAGCTTTGATGAAACTGTAGAATTGTTGTAGTTGGATAACATTTGGATTGTGATTATTGAATCCTTCTAGATTAAGGAACTTTACAGATAGAGAGGACAAGGGTAGTGAGGGACACCAGATGTCTAAGGATCTCAAGCCTGACCATATGATTAGCTCAGGCTCCTTAACTTTTAATAATTTACATTGTGGTTGTGTTAACTGTTGACTTTATGTCGATTATGTGTTGGATTTTATTATTGAAGCGTAGCCATTTTTAGCTTTAAAGAATTTAAGCTTCAATTTTGGGGTTATATACTGTCCAATGATTTTCAATCATTTCACATGTAGAAATGTTAAAATGCAAAATAAACAACCTATAATTTTGCTATGGACATATTTAGTGAAATTTTCCACGAGTTTTGTATTTTATATACAATGAGGACAGACAAAAAAATGCAAGGAAATATCAAAACCCGAATGAAGAAGAAAAGGACCATCACGTAAAAGGAAAAATAAACAAGGTAACTCTGAGGACCAGTTTACATAAATGCAACTCCAAGTACACCAATGAGGACTAGTTTTTCACACCTCATGCAAAATAATGCTTAAATAAATTATCCCTGGCGATCACAATAATTAGGGGAGCGAATTGGCCAACCATAAAAGTCACTTCCAGTTTCAAAAGATTAATCTTCCTTCGGGGTCTCAGTCGCTGCTTCAGACCTATCTGAGCGGGAGTGGGGAACAAGCCTCTCAACAGGGATTTTCATGACATCACGTCGTACTCCAATATCGGACACAATTCGACTAATACAATAAATTCCACATCCCAATGCTGTAAGGCCGGCAAAGCCAGTAGTCAAAAAGCGAAGTGGTGATGAGACAATGGCACTAACAGCAGCTAAATAAGATGCTGCCTGCCCACTCCGGCCAACACTAACTCTTGTGAAGACAATCAAACCTGTTTTGCAGTATATTGCAAGATCCTCACAGTTGTTCTTGAAAATGTTGTAGGCACCAAAACCATTCTGAAGAAGATATTTAGCACGGTGAAGGACATCTTCAGGTGGATCGGAAGGGGCAAGAGTACACGTTCCGCCACGAGCTTTGGCAAGAAACATTGCTGGTGAGACACCATATTGAAACAGATATAGCTCACCACCATAAAGAAAACATTCCAGGCAAGAAGATATGACACCATCAGACTTTGACTGATCACCACATATCTGGCATGGGGGCTTGGAGGGATCGGATGGAGACGAGCTGAAAATGAAACGATCTAACACCGTTCCTGTCCCAATTTCCTGACCCGGTCCCCGAGTGAAATGGATCACAGTTCCATTCCCAACATATATTCCTGATGTTGAACGAAATACAAGGTAGTCAAGTTGGTTTCTAGGCAATAAAGTTTACTATAGATAGCCAAAAGTTAGAGAAATAGTCTAATTCAAGAAGCAAAGCTTAATGTATAAATAGTAATAAAAGAAAAAGGTGCACCAGAAAGAAACTCGTCGCATAAATATATATTACTTCCTAAAATATTAAAAGAGAACAATGTACAATCAAATTATCCATTTTCATTTTTATTGCATATCCTATTGGAATAAACACTGAAACTCAAAGTTAGATAACAAGATCAATTGAACATCAAAGCAAGGGCTCAAGTTTGAAGCTAGATTAGGGCAAGCATGCCCTTGTCTTGAGAGTATCAGATATTCAGTTTATGCACCCGAATCTGACTGTTGCATGCTCTTCCTCTCCACTGAGCATTGATTATTGGTCCAATATAGACCTATAACATCAGCCGTTTCCATAGCTCGCTAACCAATGCCATACCAAAAGAAATTGCTAAATTAAATTCAAAGAAAGGCTCGCAAAACCTTTGACCAAAGTTCTCGATGAAACCAAAACTTTCGAATGAAGAAAAAACATAATAAAACGATATAAAATAAGTACACCTCCAACTGGTAGTCAATATCAAATTTTGACAAAACATTCATCCAGGAGTCTCAAGAAGTTGGAAATTATTATGCACTCCAAAAATAGTAATAGTAGTGCCGTGCACAGCAGAAGCAATGGGACCCATATTTAATTTTGTAACACCATCTACGAATCAAAAAAATTAAAAATTAAAAAAATCAAGAAGAATAAAATGAGACAAATAAAATTGGCATGCACAGATGTAATGTAGTTCAAGAAAATCCTGTATACATCAATAAGGAAAATCCGTTCTTCACTATGAGAGAGAAAACAATGCAAATGAATAACTAACACCCTTGAATTTCATACCCAAACTCAAGCCCCTGTACAATAGATCACATAGAGTGTCTTGTGACGAAAAAGATTCCTGTAGTCAGCTCCAAATTTATCAAGAAATACTTCCTTTTGGTTTGCGTTTCAATTTTCAGTTTTGAAGGTGTGTTTTAAGTTTGCAGAAAATGTGTTTGGTTTTTCATCCTCAAAAACTATTTCTCAAAACAAACTGTGGAAAACTCATTTAATTTGGAATTTTTAGAAATTATTATATGACATTTTATTCAATGAATTTGATTATTCGGTAAAGGAGGACAATTTTGTTCTAATACATCATCAAGTAATATATATATTTAAAGTAGTGAATCTTATAGTTCTTTTTTTCTCTCACTTTAAAAATAAAATATAAACAAATAATAAATTGACTTGACAAAAAATAGGAAATAAAAAAGAAAAGTAATGATATGAACTGAGAATAGCATAACCCAACTTTATGCCACATCACCACCTTTGGAGTATTGTGGTTGTCCCCATTTTTGCAACTTCTAATTTTTGTTTTGAAATTGGGTTCTGAAATTTTAAGTTCGATTGAGATTGTGATTTCAAGCTCTATATTGATGGTCGTAGAAAATCAGAGGAAGGTGGTAGTGGTAATGGTGGCAGTGTAGAAAGGTAGGGATGGTAGTGGGAGGGGGTTGGGTAAGGGTGGTGGGAGCAAAGTGAAACGTGGAGCGGAGGGGTGTGGTAGTGATAGTGGTGGAAAGTGTGGGGCGGGGCTTGTGAAGGTGTCTTTTTTATTATTTGTTTTAATTTTGCCTTGGGGTAGGTTTTGATTGTCTATTGGAAGGAGAATTGGATTACTTTTTTTCTCGTGTTTTGAGTACTTCTAGTATTTTCATTTAAAACACTCAAAACGTCGAAAATATGTTGAGTTCTATGTTATAAATTTAGCCCCTGTTTGACATCCATTCTCTTTCCATTCTCTTTCTAATTTTTTTCTCGTTCTTCATTTCAACCACACATTCTATCAATAAAATAATATTATACATAAACCCAAAAATTCTTCTTACTTTTTAACCACACATTCTTTACATCAATCACTATTCAAAAACTCATTCTTCAAAATAATGGGTGTCAAACGGGAGCTTAAAAATGTACATTATGATTTCAACCACACATTCTATCAATTAAATAATATTACACATAAACCTAAAAAATTTTCTTACTTTTTAACCACACATTCTTCACATCAATCACTATTCCAGAATTTATTCTTCTCCAAAATGGGTGTCCAACACACCCTTAATCTTGTTTTCAGAAATGCATTTTCAAAAATACCAAACCAAACAAGTTTTCGATGTTTGACAAAATTAAAAACTGAAAACTGAAAATCAAACATCCCCTTAGTTTTCGTTTTTGTTGCTGATCATCCTCGTGACTCATCACCTTACAACCACTTGACATTATATAATCATCTGTAATTACAATGTATGTCATTTCTAATCAATAAGTAAATCAATAAGATATATATAACCACATCCTACATCAATGCATTTTTCAAATTCATTGGGGATTCGACCTCGAATACATACTCGTATATCAATTTTTATAGGGGTATCAAATATTTACAAGTGAATGATTTGTGTAACATGTATTGATGAAATCTTGAACAATGCACCTGGTAGTACGTATTGTTTGTTGTCCACCATAAGTCAGGAAATTAATTACTGTACTAGACATAGTATGAGATTTCTAGAAAAATAGTTCACTTACTGTAAATGTTGCAATCACATTACCATTCCTCACCCGTTACATCCAAATTACATACTTCAATTGTCCCCATAGTGTATCTGAATAAAATGTACCTATTATGGCCATTAGTAGTACTTGAAATATACTAAAATCCACATACTTACAAATGCTGATCTTGTTCCCCATTTGTCCTTCAATTAATTTAAGTTGAACCACTTCGTGAAATTAGACGTGATTTTCATTTCCTCTTGGCAATTGTCTTATACAGATTCAAGAACATTGATTCTAATCCTCCTTATTAAATTTTCTTTTAGATCTTTTCTAGTGCCATATCAAATCCTATTTCAGCTGAAAATTAGAAGTGTTAAACATGAATCATTTAGCCCTTATTTGGGCTCCCTTAAAAAAGGTTTTGGGGGGAAATGTATTTTGAAATAGTGATTTTTAGGAAAATGCGTGGTTAAAAATAAGGAAAAGTTTTTGGATTTACGTGTAATATTATTTTATTGGAGAATGTGTGGTTGAAAATAAGAAATAGAAAAATGCATTTCCACAAAAATGGAGCCCAAACAGGGGCTTAATGAATACCTTACCATGTAGCAAAACAATCAAACTTTGCCTTTTAATTAAACTGAATTGATTTCTCATGCTTGATTTGATTTAGTTCATATGATTGGATTCAACTCCGACATAAATGGTAAGTTCTTCTTAGTTAGTTATCTACACATAATTACTTGCACACACCAAAATCTCATTCTAAACTTGCTCCCTACTTCAAGAATTCACAAAGCTCACTCAACCCTAGTTCCCTGCTTGTATTGCTTTTGAGGCTATTCCGAAACAATGTGAGATCTTACCCCACTAGTCATGATTAAACACTTCTCAAAAAATTGTAGAGTTGTACATATATGTCTATATGTCATAATGTTCATGATTTACTCACCCCTATCTCTCTACCTCAATATTTTTGTGAAAGAAAATAGAACTGTTATAGCTATACATCATTATAGTGTCCATCGAAGTGTGTGTATGTGTATTTTTTTTTACCCCCACAAAAGAGTACTAAGTTACAGTCTTAAGCTCATATATGATGTACTATTTAGCCTGGGATTGCTTGCGACAATTTCAAGTAATTTTGCATTTGGTATATGGATCTTTTCTTGCCAAGCCGTTTGGTCCATTGCTTCATCTACGGAAAGATCCAATGCAATAATATCATTCAAAAGCAAAACAAGCCATGTTAATTTTGTTTTTTCCCTTCCGCTTTTGTAACATGTTCTTCTAGGATCAGATCACTTTTACGAATAGAAGTTTCTCTTTCTGTGCAAGACATGTATTGACAACTTAAATGGCTAGATCGTCTCTCCTTTAATTTACCTGTAATTGGTCTCATCTTCACTTGATGTCTTGTATTCTCATTTCTTCATCTTATCCATTGTAATATGATCACACATCTATCTTAACATCCACATTACACCATGTTTCATCTTTTAGACATTTTCTCCTTCAATGACCCAACATTTAGTACCATAAAGCATAGTAGGTACAATAACCACTTCGTAGAACTTATCTTTTAACCTTAACAGTACTTTCCTATCACATAGAATCTCCATTTATGACTTCTTCATTACATCTAACACACTCGATTCTTCAAGTTCTCTTATCTTGTTAATAATTGATCCTAAAAAACCTAAATAACCACTCTTTTGGAACAACATGATGATGTTTTGGAATATGGGACTGCCTAAAGTATTACAAAGGCTATGGTTCCAATTATCATAGATTTTGTGACCCTTGAATGCTATTTCTTATGATAAGATCATATACCAAAAATTTGTCATTAACTATGAGTACACACAAAAAATCTAGCATTGATCTCGCTTTCAGCTTTTGTCTCTGAGAAAGGGAAGAAAGGAAAAATTATTTATCATAAGAAGCCCATGGGTGATGACTATTTCAGGAAACGCCTATATGATATGTCCACTCTAAAACGTCATGACCCAAGCAGATGTCCTTTCAACATAAAACATTATCGTTTAGATTGTCCCAAAAAATGTAACCTTTCATGAAATTCCTTTCTTTCCAGAATTGTCATATCTTCATAAAACAATTCCAACTTTTCATTCAAAGGTTGCAGCATTCTTGGAGAAGTCATGAGCCATGTTTAAATGGCCATAGATGAGCCTATAAAAAGGCTCTTTCATTTCTGCTTCAAAGTTAAGTTTGTTGGTTGTTCTTGTGGGAGATAGGTAAAACTTCCTTAGGAACAACAATTTGTTCCATCTAAGCAGTCAATTCCTTGATGCTTTAAGCACTAGAGGGAGCAAATGTCTTAAGGAGAGTCTAGACTTACAAGTCTCAATCATTTATGTTTGCACGTTTAAATTGCAGATTTGGTTTAAGTCTATGATTTTACTTTCATCAACCTATTTCCCAAGTCCACTATTGCCTTAGATATGCAAGCAGCAGTTCCTATATATCTTCTTCAGATATTATTCTGTGTCGTTCACCTATTACAATAACAAATAAGGATAAAGTAAAATTTAATCATAAAATTAAAAAGATTTCATGAATGATCCACTGACGTTTCATCACTTCCTATTAAAATTGAAATTGCAATTCTCTTATTTTGCTCCCTTCCTATTCTCATTTTTTTTTTACTCAGAAACTCAACATTCATCTAGAGTACAACAGCAGCCAAATTAATCAATGCCAAAGAGATCAAAATAACAGAAAATCGCAACAACCATAATTTTAGTATAACAATGCTCAAAATAAACAATATAATTGACTTAAAAGGGTTCTGGAAATAAAAATAAGAGTCGAAAATTGAAAAAGATAATTGACTTAAAAGGGCTCTAGAAATAAAAATAAGAGTCGAAAATTGAAAAAGAGAATTAACCGTGATGAGCGTAGATATACGAGTGTCTCCAAGAATAGATGTGATCGCCAGGCTTTAATTCGTCCTTTTGGATTTTGTTTGAAAGCACACCCACCATTTTACTTGTAATCTTCTTCTTCCTCCACTTCGCTCCCTCCCTCCCTCGAACTTTCGTTTCAAAATGGCGAAGCTTTGCTTAGCAGCTACGCTTGTTTGGATATTTAAAAGGTCAACTGGAACAAGCAAATAATATCCCCTCAAATAATTTCAAATTTCAGTCTTAAGTAAAGGTGCTATTTGAGAACACGCTTTTAATTTGTTTTAAAACAGTTCTGTTTAGTTACAGTTTGTTAGGATAAGCGAGAGGTTAATTTCATTTTTCACTAGCAACACGAATTAGGCAGACGTGCTCTTCATCTTCTTCAAATTCAAGAATTGGGTGCGTTCTTCAAGTGGGTTCTTTTGATTTGGGTATAATCTTCCAAGGGGCTGTTCTTGTACGGATTCTCTACTTGATTTCTTCACTTGGTCCATACACTGAACCACCACGCAGCTAGTTGATTTTGCTGTTTCTTTATTTTCAGCATTGTAATTGCATGATGTTTTCTTAGGATTCTTTTTGGTAATTTGACGAGTTACTTCTGCAAATAGCATCTGAGCCACGACTCATTTTTTGGTTGGGATGTTTAATTGTTTATCTTAGTTTTTTCTCTCTTTCGCACTAACCATTCGTAAATTCATGCAGTGAACATGAGTAAGAAAACGAAGACAGTACAGGATTCCTCCGTCTCTGAGTATGCTGCTGATCAATCTAAAAGTAATGCCATTGCATTCTCTTTTCGCGAACTCGCAACCGCAACTCGCAATTTCAGGCAATTCATTGGAGAAGGTGGCTATGGGCCTGTGTACAAAGGGAAATTAGAAAGCACTGGCCAGGTAATCTTTCGCTGGAAATTAAAATGACCCATATTTGGATTGGGCATTCTTCATACTTTCCTAAGTTGGGATGGACATGAATATAACATGTTGTAATTATTGGCAGATTGTTGCTGTTAAAAAATTAAATCAAAATGGTTTACAAGGGAACAAGGAGTTTTTGGTGGAGGTTCTCATGCTTTCTCTGCTGCGTCACCCTAACCTTGTCAATTTGGTTGGTTACTGTGATGAGGGGGACCAGAGAATTCTTGTATATGAATTCTTTCCCTTGGGCTCCTTGGAATCCCGCCTCCATGGTAATATCAAATTTCCTTTTTTGATAATGCATGCTTTGAACTTCTGATTATAGAAAAATATGTTTAGGAAAGGCTTTTTTTTTTTTACAACAATCCCTTCAGGTTTTGATCCCATATCTAGTTATGCACAAAAGATTTTTGGATGTCACTGTTGTACCAAGGCATCTGATGAAACTTGAGTTTGCCGCTATATGTCACATTTCAACAATTCAAATGTCCTCTTGATAGTTAGGAATCTGCCAATGCCTGGAAGATTTTTGTTTCTAGGAGTACTTCTGTCTGTGTCCTTGCAATAGTAGTCGCTGGTGATATATCTCCTTTTAGGCTTCTCCATTTCTTCTTTTTATTGGTGAGGATGAGAGACAGAGAAACTATATACTTCAGTCACTTCTAGCTTATGGTTTGCCCTCAGAGCTGATAATCATGCACAAAATGTTAACATTGACAAAACCCGACTACTATGTTAATAAGTTGTATTTTAACATTTCTCTATTCCACGTGGGAGGCTGGTATAATAAGTTAATTCCAATCCAAATCCATTTTAACCAGACTCGTCACTTCAAGTTCAAAAGACATTTGTAACTGTTTATGGTTCATCTATATTCTGCGATAGGTTTTCAGTATGATTAGTGGTTGGACACCTTGATTTGTTATTTTTCCTTTCAAATACTTACAATTTGTATAATGTGATTGCATTTTAAAATTTTCAAATAGTTTATTCAGTAGATTTACAGTGGGTATTATTTGTGGATGTTGCATTTAGCGATCATTTTGCTCTTGAATTTTATTCACCTTATGCATGCTATGAAGCATTTAAGAATTTCCTTTATAAATGAACTATGGTCAATATGCAGATCTTAAACCTGATACGCAACCCCTGGATTGGAATACGAGAATGAAAATAGCAGCTGGTATAGCCAATGGTTTGAATTACCTGCACCACCAGGCGAATCCACCAGTCATTTACAGGGACCTGAAATCATCTAATATATTGATGGATGATGGATTCCTCCCTAAACTTTCTGACTTTGGACTTTCCAAGTTTGGTCCACATGAGGATAAGACACATGTTACTACTAGGGTCATGGGTACTTATGGGTATTGTGCACCTGAATATGCCGCAACTGGACACCTTACACTGAAGTCAGATGTTTTCAGTTTTGGCATAGTCTTGTTGGAGATAATCACTGGACTTACAGCATTAGATGAAACTCGAGTAAGGGGGAAGCATAAGCTTCTTGATTGGGTAAAATTTCAATGCCTATACAATTGCTGATTATGAGAAACTGCAAGTAATTTGAAAAGCTTCTGATGGGATATTCAAAACATATATCTGCTTGTTATGTACACTTTGGAATTATTATTGAGATATTGACTGCTGGAATTTGTCAATCCAGTTCTTCTCTCCTCTCTGCTTCTGTTTGTCTCCCCTCACTGTTTCTGTTTGACTTCCTTCCGTTCTGTATCATTAGGTTGGGCAGAGCCGAATGGCTTCTTAAACATTACGCTCTGATGTATTTTCTTGTAATTATTTGATATTCATGTTGGTCTTTATTTTCATATCTATAACTTCTATAATCACCCTTTCAAATTTGTAGGTACGTCCTTTATTGAGTGAACCTAAGAACTTTTTGCAGTTGGCCGATCAAAAACTGAATGGACAATTTCCAAAATCCGTGTTCTGTAAGACCGTTGAGTTGGTATTAATGTGCATAAGAGATAATGCCCCATCTCGGCCTACCATGACTGAAGTGGTGGGTGCTATGGATTATTTGACATCGAAGAAAATATGACCCTCTATGCTGCTCGAAGAAAGGACCAAGGACAAAGAAATCAGTCCACTTCAAAAGTTTCGTAGTTTGAGAACAATTAGCAGGAAACAAGTTTGATGACTTTTAGTGATCATCTTTTTATATCTTTTTCATATTGGTGTTAGCTAGCAATTTTCATGTTGATGATAATTGGTTGTGGTCAGTGAAATAAATATCGAAATATATTGGAATAATGAAAATTGTCATTGAATTGTCTACAAGTGCTATGACAGGTTTTTCCATGCTTACAAATGTATCTGCTATCTTGGCTTCATTTGCTCCGATGTACCATTTTTTTTTTTTTACATCAACAGGTTTGACTCTGAAAGTGCCATTAAAACTGCATATCGTGCAAATTGCTGGTTTTCACATAGCACAAGTATCTGATCTGAGTTTCAGAATAGAAAAATGAGATGAAAATTACTAAAATATTCTTTTTGATTTTTTGTCCGGCTTGGTCAAGCAAATAGCAATGTGAACCTTTCCATTTTCCACTTCCAACTAGAAGAAGAAAAGCCATTTTTATTTTTAACATCCTATATTTTTTTATTTTGAATTGTGACACCGTAAATCTTCATTTTTTTGGTCCTTACAGTATGTGCTGTACTAAAAAATACATCAAAATCCACATTGTGAAATCAGAATTGATGATCATTTCTTTTTGGCAATTGTTTTATAAATAATTAAAGATGTAAAGAAGAACATGACCACTAGGACAGGTCTTAAAGAAGGAAGATTTATGTCAACAACAGCTTCAGCTATTCATCTTTTGTTTAATGCTCACTTAGATACCTTGCACTGTCATATTAAATTGTTTCCCAACTAGCAAAGGACTATCAACTTTGCCTATTAATTATACTGAATCAATTTCCGATGCTCTATTTGATTTGTTCATTCTGATAATTGGAATTCTTCACAATGCTTCACAACCACACAAACCGAATTTTAGTCGAGGCTTCCCTCTCGTAACATGCTCTAATCTTACCACTTACCACTTTTATGAAGTGAAGCTTCTTGTCAACCCAAGAGATTCCCAAATGGTCAACCTTTATTTTATCCCCTTGTTATCTTATATTCTCATTTCTTATCTTATCCATTATAATATGATCACACATTTAACTTGTCATCCTCATTCTGCTACGTTCATCATTTTTTACTTTAATGACACAACATCTAGTACCGTAAAACATAGTACTTCTCCATTCCATCTAACCTACTCACTCCTCAAATTCTCCATTCTTGTTAATAATTGATAGTAAATACCTGAAACATGAAGATATAATGATGTTCATGTGTGTCAGACTGCTTGATACTACTGTTCTATACATGAATGGATTACAGACCAGACTAATACGTAAAAAAAAAAAATTACACATGATTTTTTTTTTTTTTACGTAAAATTTTTCTACCTAAAAAATTCAGTGGGCTGGGGACTGAACCGGGCTACAGCCCGGCCCAGTCTTCCCCACATTTGTCACTAGTTCTATATGTCATACATTTTTGTTATCCTCGTCGTTCTAATACAATATGTATATTCTCTTTATCTAAAAATTTCAACTTTTCCATAAAATCCCGTTCTAGACTAGTAGACGCTTGAATGGACGTGACCTTTTGATAAGGGACAATCTACACTATTAAATATGAATGATGTGATCTAATGGTTAAAATTAATTTTGCTAAAAGACGCAAGCATTCGAAGTGACAAATGAAAAATTAGCAAAGCAAATATTGTCAAATTGCTTTCCATTGTCAGTTACAATGGAATGAGGTATTCCAAATCTGCACACAATGGACTTCCATATGAAGTCGGTAGTCTTTTGCTCGGTAATCTTAGTAAGGGGTTTAGCCTCCACCCATTTAGTGAATTAATCCACTACAAAAATTGCAAACTTTGTTCCTCCTTTTCCAGTAGGCATGAGACCAAATAGATCAAACCTTTACTTGGAGAAGGGCCAATGAACCATTACACAATTCAACTCTTCTGGTGGGAGCTTTATGTGAGAAGTGAAACGTTGACATTTATCACATTTTCTAGCAAATTCCAATGCGTCATTCCTCATAGTGGGCCAAAAGTATCATTGTCGCACTATTTTATGAAACAGTGATTGCCCACCAGAATGATTTCCAAACACTCATTTCTATATTTCTTACAAAGCATAAAGTGCCTCCTCTTCATTCAAGCATCTCAAAAAAGGCACGAAATATCCTCGTTTACAGAGAACATGGTCAATCAATGTATACCTCGCTGACCTCATCCGAAGTTTTCTCGCCTCAATGGGATCTTCTGGACATGACCCCGTCTTCAGGTAGGAACTAATTTTATCCATCCATGTAGGCTTGGGATCAATCATCATAGAAACAGTTTCCAATCTTTCATTGGCAAGATGAGAAATCCTTCCTATAGGAATGTTGTCAAACTCCTCTATTCCTTCACTTATTGCCAGTCGAGCTAAGGTGTCAACATGACCATTTTGAGTTCAGAGAATTCGTTTGACTAGCACAGTTTGGAAATTTTTGAACTCTTGCTTGACAACTTGAAGATAGCTGTTCTTCCTTTAGTTTGGTAAGATTCGTTGACTTGATTAGCCACGAATTGTGAGTCGTTGTAGACTATCAAATGAGTAACCCTAATTTCTTTCGCCATTCTCACCCTGTTATAAGTGCCTCGTATTCAACTTCATTGTTCAAGGCTTTGAAGTCAAATAGTAATGCTTCGCAGAATAACTGGAGATTCGGACTAATCAAGACAACTCTAGCTCCTGATCGAGCTCCAGTAGAGCTTGGCCCTTAACAGAGGCGTGGTGCTTGTATCTTATATCGAACTGCACAAGCTATACTGTCCATTTAACCACCCGTCCTGAAGTATTAGGCTTTTGTAAAATTTGCTTTAACGGGTAATTAGTTAAGATATCAATTGGGTGTTCCAAAAGTATGGCCTCAATTTCCTTATTGCCATAACCACAACATAAACCAATTTCTCTAAAGGAGAATAACGGAGCTCGGCTTCATGAAGAGCTTTTCTTACATAGTAAACAGGATGTTGTATTCCTTCCTCATCTTTAGCTAGAATAGCACTAATAGCATGTTCAGACACTGCAAGATATATAATCAGAATTTCTCATGCTTTTGGTTTTGATAGCATCGGTGGCTACGCCAATTGTTGTTTTAATTCATCAAAGGCGAGCTAGCATTCAGGAGTCCATTCAAACTTCTTCCCTCCTCGTAAGACATTGAAGAAAGGTTTGCATTTATTAGTCGACTTTGACATAAAACAACTGAGGGGGCAGCTATTCATTCAGTCAAACTTTGAACCTCTTTGGGCTTTGTTAGGGCGTGCATTTCAATGATAGGTCGTATCTTTTCCGAATTTGCTTCGATTCTCCAACAATTCACTAGATAACCCAGGAATTTTCCTGAGCTCACACCTAAAGCACATTTGTATGGGTTTAACTTCATCCCGTATTTTCTCAGGATTTCGAACATTTCAGCAAGACGTTGTCAATGGTTCCTAGCATCCGCACTCTTTACTAACATATCACTTGGTAAACTTGGAATTGACCAGACATTGGTAGGTGGCTCCAGCGTTTTTGAGACCAAAAGACATCATTTTGTAAAAGTAAAGACCTTGGTCAGTGATGAAAGCGTGTGTTCCTGGTCCGGTTCATACATAAGAACTTGATTATACCCTGAGTATGCATCCATAAAACTAAGCAACTCGTGTCCTACTGTTGCATCTACCATTCGATCTGTCCTTGGTAGTGGAAAGTTGTCCTTAGGACATGCTTTATTTAGATCGGTGCACATTCTCCAATTTTCATTTTTTTTCTTACAGGAACTAGGTTAGCAACGTAACTTTTGCATCTCTTTGTTTAAGGCCTCGTATCTTTCTGGATTCAGAGGTTGACGTCGTTGCTATCTAGGTCTCACCATTGGATCGATACCCAACTTGTGGTACATGATTCCTGGATCAATTCCTTTCATGTCTAAATGATTCCAAGTGAAATCATCGAGGTTCTGTTGAAGGAACTTAATGATCTGACCTCGGAGGGGTGGTTGAAGTTCGTGGCCTATTTTGAGTTCTTTTAGAGGATCGTCTGGTCCGACCTTCACTTTATCCAACTTTTCCCCCTTTTACTCTTACGCATGGGTCTAATGAGCTAAGATTGGATTCGATCAGATATACCATATGAACTTCTGGAGGAACATGTATATCCTTCTTTGCTAGACGAATCTTCATCCGACATTTCTCATCAATGTCTCTATTTCCCTTAACTTGTCCTACGCCATGAGGTGTGGAAAATTTGAGAGAATAATGGTACATTGACATAATTGATCTGAGATTAAATAACAGAAGATGCCCTATAATGGCGTCATAGGGTGAATTAGAATGAAACACTACAAACTATGCATTCAATTTAGCTCGGCATGGAGCTTTACCTACCTCAACAGAGAGCTTGATCAACCCTTTTACTTTGGTGAGGGCCCTATTGAGTCCTAAAACCATGTTCGGATATAGTTGTAGAAAATTCAATATAATTCCCAACCATTCTAGTTGTGTTAACATAAAGTATGTTGAGAGAGCTTCCCCGTATCAACTAAAACTTTGGGAATGATAACTCTTGCTACGGGTATTGAGATTACCATGATTCCAGGATAGGGACACGGATCTGCTTCCTTTTCTTCAAATGAAAGTTGATCATTCGTCACATTTATGTGGCACTTCTCAGTAATACCGATCTCAGAGAGGTCCGCAACAATGGGTCTTTTAAACCTTGCCTCCTTTGCTCGATCATTTTGTTGGCTCCTCAACATTTGGATCTAAGGACTAGGTAGATCAATGTTGCAAGCTCTCGCCTCGGCTTGGTTTCCACGTACTATGCCAACTCTATTTGGAGTAAAAAACTTTATACAATAATGATATATTGAGGTCGTGACTTGCAATTCGTGCAATATGGGTCTCCCCAATATGCCATTATAATTGG